CACTTCGCAATTTTTTTGTTTATTTGACGATTTTCGGCTTAATTTGCCTGTACTATTATGCATGTATTTTCGGAAAAATGATGAATTTTGGTGACAAGCGAAAATTTTTAAATAAATATCTACCTCTCCTAAAAATTAAAAAAAAACATCATTTTTTCCATTTTTATTTTATTTCAATTAATCATCGATTTATTATGGTACATAATTATTGTTTTATAAAAATAATTTATTGCTGGAAATCTTTTTTGTTTCAGTTCTCAGCCTTTTAAACCGAGGTTCAATCATAATAAATGCCCTTTTTGCGCATTTGCTTGGGACACGCGCAATTGTTGTTAATTATTTCTTCGGAATAACATTTCTTAATTTAGACATTCGGCAAATGTAAATACGAAGCGACAAATACCCTAAGTATCTTATTGATATTCTCTGTAGTTTTCAAGTCAATATTGTGTCGATTGTCACTAAAAGGGCCAGATTTGTGCCAGAAGGGCGGGAAAGAGATCGGTATTATATGCAAAATGGGCACACCTAAAAAATAGAAAATTCACTTTGTAGTAGAAATGTCTATGAAATGATCTTTGTGTCTCACGAATAATTTACATACCTCTCTTCAAAAAGGGGATATGGTCATCTTCAATATGCGGATTGAATGAGTACGATTGAAAATATCTCTGTTCCGGTTTGTTATATGAATACGATTCAAATTTTCTCATTTGAGCTAATTTGTTTTCGGTGCTAAGTAATAAGGAGTGCCATTTCTCGGTGTTTTTAAAGTAATTGTAAAAAGCCGGATTAGGTGCGCCTAGCAAGTCAAGGAGGACCAACATGTCCTGTAAAAAAATTCACATAAATATTAAACAATTATTATTATAATATTTAACAATTATATGATTCAAATAGTATCATATATAAACTTTGATATATATGATACGTTTAATGATATTTATATTGATTACATAATACGATATATACCATTCTATCCAATTCAGAGAAATGATTTCCTTCATCATTAATTATTTTATTATCCCATTTTTTAGCTAAGTGTTTAGCACCGTAAATCGAATCATTTGGACCCCATTCTTTAAACGCTTCTTCCCCATCGAAAAAGATAAACATCAAGCTAATATCCTGCTGAAAAATACACATTTAACGTAACAATAAATTTTCTAGAATACATATGAACATGTTAATTTCGTATGTTCTATGTGACTTACTTGTTTAGTCAAATATTTATTCATAATAGTAGCCAAATTAATTAATTGAGCGCATGGCACAGCACTGTCTGTAGCTCCAATAAAATCCCTCTCTCTCGTATACTTGGAATCAAAATGACAAGCTAGCGTCAGATATCTTTTTGCATTAGGATTTAATTTTGCTATTATGTTTTCAAACTCCAGTTTGCCAATGGGTGTGTAATCTTCAAATATATCCGATTCGACTGTCCAACCCAGACCTTTCATTGACCTCTTTATATACTAAAAAAGAAATATGTTTCCGCTGCAAATTACATATGTTATTCTAACGTGAGAACACTAGATTTATACATACATTTATAGTCGGCTCTTTAAAATAAAACTTTTTATACAATTGTAGGGGAGAGATAGAGATATTTTCAAAGCTCCCGGTATCTGCGAATGAACTATATGAGAATCCACGGATTCGCTGGAGACATCGAAATTAACCGAACGGAGGATAGAGGAAGGGTGGAATATCGGTGCTTAAGAGAGATGACTAAAAATGAGTTGCGTTAGTTTGCGAAGTTCCATGGAGTGCAATAAAAATCGCATACAAGTGCGATTTGCAGCATTCGAAAGGGTGAATCTTTACCTTTAATTTGCATGCTCGATCAGCATTGTACGATTTTTTTTTACCAAGTTATTCAATATGGAAGGACAAATGGTCCTTTTCATTTCAATGTTGAAAGATCGGAAGA